TAGTATTGTGATGTCTGAGTATGAGGTACCCTGATCATGCTTCTACCGCCCACCACTGCTTTCACCACGCGTTAGTATTGTGATGTCTGAGTATGAGGTACCCTGATCATGCTTCTACCGCCCACCACTGCTTTCACCACGCGCTAGTATTGTGATGTCTGAGTATGAGGTACCCTGATCATGCTTCTACCGCCCACCACTGCTTTCACCACGCGTTAGTATTGTGATATCTGAGTATGAGGTACCCTGATCATGCCTCTACCGCACACCACTGCTTTCACCACGCGTTAGTATTGTGGTGTCTGAGTATGAGGTACCCTGATCATGCTTCTACCCTCTCACCACGCGTTAGTATTGTGATATCTGAGTATGAGGTACCCTGATCATGCCTCTACCGCACACCACTGCTTTCACCACGCGTTAGTATTGTGATGTCTGAGTATGAGGTACCCTGATCATGTCTCTACCGCACACCACTGCTTTCACCACGCGTTAGTATTGTGATGTCTGAGTATGAGGTAACCTGATCATGCTTCTACTACACATCACTGCTTTCACCACGCGTTAGTATTGTGATGTCTGAGTATGAGGTACCCTGATCATGCTTCTACCGCACACCACTGCTCTCACCACGCGTTAGTATTGTGTGAAATCAGAGTACGAATAACCCTCATCGTGCCTCTATCGTACAACAAACGCGCGGCCCTGACAGATAACAACGAGCGAAGAACGAAACGGAAAACATCCCCAACTAAAACGACACGTATCGTCAAATAGCCCAATAATTGTGCGGTAGGTGACGTCACACAAAACAACGTTTTCTAACAACGCATTTTGATTGAAGGTCTACAACATTTCTTCTCCAGAGTTTAATATAAAAAAAACACGTAGATATATGATGTATACGTGCTACGTACGAGAGACACGGAAAACAGCGGAGATCGAAGGCTAAAGGCTCGAGGTAACACCACGAAGAACGGATGCGCAGAGAGACACGCACTAATAACAAGTGAATTGTTAGCATTGGCGCGGAAACACGAACAATCGCACGGATTCGCTCTCTCACAACGCACGCACGGACGCACGTACACACACGCGCGCGCATACATACACAAAGACACACGCGCGCGCGTACGCACGCACACACACGCACCCACGTACGCACGCACACACAAACATACACACACACACGCACACGCGCACGCACGCGCACGCACGCACACACACACACACACACACAAACACAAATATAGAAAGATTGTCTACAAACGCACACACAAACGCACACACACACACACACGCACACACACACAAACACAAATATAGAAAGATTGTCGTACAAATCAACGCCAGTCAATGTTTCCCCCTCGCAACTTTACACGGAGAGAACGCGCGCGGGCCGCGTATACTACCGAGCGGTGGCGACACCTACAGGTGAGCAAAGTAGGCGAATCACGCGACAGCGCTTGTCACCCGAGAACAATATATATCATGAGCTAATAATGACAAATTCGTCATTATTAGCTCCTGATATATTATATATATATATATATATTGCTCTTCACTTGACACCATCTATCACTACTGGGCCGCCACGCGTCGCCGCTGATACGAGTGAGCTCTGAGGTTCAACTAGAGATATAACAAAGGTCGCAGCATTCGATACGGGCTGGCTGTACAGCTTGCCACTATTGCTAGGCTGCGGTCACTCACAGCTTATATATATATATACGAAAGGTTTCCACCACACGAAGCCGGATCCCACGAAGGTTTTTACATCGAACGGCTATGAAAAGATATGTTCGCCGGTCCACACCCTTGATTTACGCAGACCCGCTAGCCTGGCGTGGGAGAACAATGGGTGGAGGCGGGGAATGAGACGCACAGCAAGGCCGTACGCAGCAGGGGGGCAGCAGGGGCAGTTGCCGCCCCCCTAGAGATTTTCAGAGTATGCCTTTTAATGGGACAAATAGGGCAATAGAGGGCGTGGGGAGTACCTTTGCCCCCCCTACAGAAAATTTCCTGCGTATTTGCCCCCCTACAGAAAATTTCCTGCGTACGGCCTTGCGGGACTAGGGTTAGGTATTCGCTAGGTTCTACGTGCAGCCCTTCCTCCATCTATACAAAAATTCGCACGTTCACGCAACAAGCGTGTGTGCGCACAGTAATACAGTTACAGTTTAACAGTAATCTAGCCCGCTAGATTGTGAGATTCGAGTGCCGTTGGGCACCCATGCACGCACGCAAACTCGCGCACACACAGATGAGCAACACACACCATCCACCTGCTAGTCTGCTACAATGCCAGCAGGTGGCACCAGCGATAAAAAGCTCGTGTTCTGAAAAGGTGAGAGTCAGTACGCGGCGGCGGATTTCGCGTCGCCGACGACGGCTACGAAGTAGCGCCCCCTATGTCGTCCTTTTCCTCGGATATGTTGCTTCGGAATGTAAAACACACTTATAATGAGACTGGATGGACTGAACATTTTATGTACATGTAAAGAGTGGGTGGCACGTGTAACAAAAGCAGGGCGCTAGAGCCATCACAGTAACCTGTTCGACTCGACGTTCTTTCGACAGTATCTAAGGGAGGCGTCGTCTTAGCAACAGCATCCCAAGGGAGTCATGTTCTTAGCAACAGTATCCAAGAAAGGTGTGCTCTTAGCAACAATATCTAAGGGACATGTGGTCTTAGCAACAGTATCCAAGGAAGGTGTGGTCATAGCAACAGTATCGAAGGGACATGTGGTCTTAGCAACAGTATCCAAGGAAGGTGTGGTCATAGCAATAATATCGAAGGGACATGTGGTCTTAGCAA